AGTAATTAATTGATTATAAACGTCATTTATTTAAAGCAGTTAAATTTTTCTTTTCTTTTTTACGTTCCTGAATACATTACGTAATTTTTTGCTGAAGTTCAAGGCGGAACAAACAGAACTTACAGGTACTAGTGCTGGACAACATCAGGTATGGTGAAGTGATTCATTTGTTAATTGGTCACAAAGTCGGTATGACCTCGTTTCTGCATTTTCTAGAATTTCTCATTTCTGCATTTTCTAGAATTTCTCGTTCTGCATTTTCTAGAATTTCTCGTTTCTGCATTTTCTAGAATTTCTCGTTTCTGCATTTTCTAGAATTTCTCGTTTCTATTTTCTAGATTTCTCGTTTCATTTTCTAGAATTTCTCGTTTCTGCATTTTCTAGAATTTCTCGTTTCTGCATTTTCTAGAATTTCTCGTTTCTGCATTTTCTAGAATTTCTCGTATTTTCTAGAATTTTCTCATTTTTAGAATTTCTCATTTCTGCTTTTCTGAATTTCTCGTTTCTGCATTTTCTAGAATTTCTCATTTTCTTTTTTCATTTCATTTTCTAGAATTTCTCATTTCTGCATTTTCTAGAATTTCTCATTTCTGCATTTTCTAGAATTTCTCGTTTCTGCATTTTCTAGAATTTCTCATTTGCATTTTCTAGAATTTCTCGTTTTTCTGCATTTTCTAGAATTTCTCGTTTCTGCATTTTCTAGAATTTCTCGTTTCTGCATTTCTAGAATTTTCTGCATTTTCTAGAATTTCTCGTCTGCATTTTCTAGAATTTCTCGTTTCTGCATTTTCTAGAATTTCTCGTTTCTGCATTTTCTAGAATTTCTCGTTTCTGCATTTTCTAGAATTTCTCGTTTCTGCATTTTCTAAGAATTTCTCGTTTCTGCATTTTCTAGAATTTCTCGTTTCTTCATTTTCTAGAATTTCTCATTTCTGCATTTTCTAGAATTTCTCGTTTCTGCATTTTCTAGAATTTCTCGTTTCTGATTTTTCTAGAATTTTCATTTTCTGCATTTTCTAGAATTTCTCGTTTCTGCATTTTCTAGAATTTCTCGTTTCTGCATTTTCTAGAATTTCTCGTTTCTGCATTTTCTAGAATTCTTTTCTGCATTTTCTAGAATTTCTTGTTTCTGCATTTTCTAGAATTTCTTGTTTCTGCATTTTCTAGAATTTCTCGTTTCTGCATTTTCTAGAATTTCTCGTTTCTGCATTTTCTAGAATTTCTCGTTTCTGCATTTTCTAGAATTTCTCGTTTCATTTTTCTAGAATTTCTATTTTCTAGAATTTCTCATTTTCTAGAATTTCTCGTTTCTGCATTTTCTAGAATTTCTCGTTTCTGCATTTTCTAGAATTTCTCATTTCTGCATTTTCTAGAATTTTCTCGTTTCTGCATTTTCTAGAATTTCTCGTTTCTGCATTTTCTAGAATTTCTCGTTTCTGCATTTTCTAGAATTTCTCGTTTCTGCATTTTCTAGAATTTCTCGATTTTCTAGAATTTCTATTTCTGCATTTTCTAGAATTTCTTTTCGTTTCTGATTTTCTAGAATTTCTCGTTTCTCTTTTCTTTTTCTAGAATTTCTCGTTTCTGCATTTTCTAGAATTTCTCGTTTCTGCATTTTCTAGAATTTCTCGTTTCTGCATTTTCTATTTCTCGTTTCTGCATTTTCTAGAATTTCTTTTCTGCATTTTCTAGAATTTCTCATTTCTTTTTCTTTTCTGATTTTCTAGAATTTCTCGTTTCTGCATTTTCTAGAATTTCTATTTTCTAGAATTCATTTTCTAGAATTTTCTCGTTTATTTTCTAGAATTTCTCGTTTCTGCATTTTCTAGAATTTCTCGTTTCTGCATTTTCTAGAATTTCTCGTTTCTGCATTTTCTAGAATTTCTCGTTTCTGCATTTTCTAGAATTTCTCATTCTTTTCTGTTTCTGCATTTTCTAATTTCTCGTGCATTTTCTAGAATTTCTCATTTTCTGCATTTTCTAGAATTCTCATTTCTGCATTTTCTAGAATTTCTCGTTTCTGCATTTTTCTAGAATTTTCTCGTTTCTGCATTTTCTAGAATTTCTCGTTTCATTTCTATTTTCTAGATTTTCTATTTGCATTTTCTAGAATTTCGTTTATTTTCTAGAATTTTCGTTTATGCCGAGAATAAGATGATGGAGACTCGTGGTAGTTTTTTTCTGGACATATTAGATGGTATTGTAATTGGTATGTTTTTTTTCGTTGCTCTGCTAAGCCAATTTGCAGGGGGGGGGGGATCTCGCTGTTACCCATGCCAGATGTTCTAGGGTGAGGATGTGAGAACTGGTCTTCTCGAATTGGCATTTGCACAAGGGGAAAATCGTTTCCATGGTTAGATTTTTTTTATTCTTATTTTTTTTTCATTTTCTTATTTATTCATTTATTTATTATTTATTTATTTATTTATTCATTTATTTATTTATTCATTTATTATTATTTTTTAAATGTTATTATCATCATCATCATCATCATTATTATTATTATTATTATTATTATTTATTATTATTATTATCATTATTATTATCATTATTTATTATTATTATTATTATTATCATTATTATTATTTTTAGAAAATTGGCATCTTACATCGTGAGGCCTCTCTGCACGCCGTGTCACGCTGCTAGGTGCTGGAGCGTCGTGGTGGCTCTTATGGTTTAAATATCCCTTTTTTCACTGACAAGAAACTGCCTTACGACACTAGAAACTGTCCAAAATTGAATTCGCGGCACAATTTCATTCGCGACACCAATTTCATTCGCAACACGACAATTTCCATTCGCGATTTCACCAATTTCATTCGCGACACCAATTTCATTCGCGACACGGCGTGCGACACTTCCCGGGATGGTCGCTACAACCAAGGTCTATATAAGTACAGGTCTCGTCACTTCGGAGTTCTGCGCAGCTTTGGGTGATAAGGCCTATGACGTCACTTGGAGAGAGCTGTACTTATATAGACCTTGGCTACAGTAACCAGCCAGTGTTTCGAAGGTTCGACTCCACTCCATTCCAAAGATTCGTACTTGAGTTGATGAATCCGATTTTGTTATTGAATTGTATTGATTAACAAATCACTGTTTTACTGGTGTAACATTAGGAAATAACAATAAGCACAAGTTGTTAGTTATCAACATCTTAAAACTACAAATCAAACGATGGAAGACTATCGAAATCAGTTGAAAATGCGCCTCCCACCATACTTTTTTTTCCTTCGTCTATCGACACTGGCTTCGAACATCACACTTTAACTAAATATTTTGAAAAAGACACTATTTATGAATTGATAATGGCTACATTTAAAAGAATATATAAGTTTACGTCTGCATATTCAAGTCATACATACATAACAAGTAAAATGATTATGTAGAACCTAATAAACATTTTCGTAATATTCTTTGAACCATTCGAACATATTCTGTAAATAAAACATGAGATAGTTCCCCGTATAATATTCATTATGTATATATATATATATATATATATATATATATATATATATATATATATATATATATATATATAATATATATATATATATATATACAGGGCGATCAGGGCCCTGGGGCAAAGAACAGGCCGGACCCTCAGGGCCACATACTTTTTAGGAGGGAAAGTCTTTTTAAAATAGGAAACGCCCATTTTCCCCTTAAACTTTCATGTTAACATAAACTGTATGTTACTCGAACTTACACATCAAGAACTTGCTATCAAAAAACATCGCTAGTTTGCCAGAAGATTGAGGACATTTTTTGAACCACTTCCTTATTCTTATTTCATCGATAATAACTTTTAACGTTAACTGTTTTTTAACGTTGTTTTAGTAAAAATACCGGCTCAAATAAGCGACTATTGTTTTTTACGGCACCCACCGATACATATATATATACATATATATACATGCCTATATACATAAAGCAAAGAAAGAATTTACTGGAGCACAATGCTTAAGAGATAAAATTATAACACAAGGGCAGTAGGATAGGTTAGAATTATTATTTAATTTTATCCTTTTTTTTACCTTCTAAATTCTTTTACCGTAAACAAGGACCACAGTGAGCTATAAAAAACAAATAAACAAACAAACAAACAAACAAGAAATTGCAGCAGTGATGCTATTTCATAAAGGTTCTGATCTGTGAGATTCCTGAAGCAGTGAATACTTCTGATAATATTGAATAGATCGGGAATTGCTTAGACAAATAATGAATTCGTTAAATGCGTTAACAAGATAAAGAATTGCTTAGCTAATGAAGATAAAGGATATATACAGTATTGCCAGGGCTCTCCTTATTTTTTTTTTGCATTCTCCTTTCTCTCACCCTCATCTAAATCCTCCTCCTCTCTCTTCTCTCTTCTTTATCTTCCTCTAACTCCTCTTTTCTTTTTCCTCTTCCTCTTCTGAATATTTCTTCACCGTCGATATTTAAGATTAGTCTCCCTCGAAACCCTTTCGTTTTCTTTCATACATTTTCTTTTACATTTTATTGTCAAACTCATGAAATACAGAAATAATGTCAGCAAAATATATGTTCATGGCAATAAGTGTATAACATGCATGAATATACTGTGCGAAGTTATGTGTATATACTTGTAGAAATTTTCTCAGTCTGTGCAAACTCAAGTATATGAAATTTTGAGTCTACAGTGCATCCCGCTGTTGTGATAGTTGTTACTGATAGACTATAGTGTGTCTTCACTAGTATCCTCCTCCTCCTCCTCCTCCTCTTTATCACTTCTTCTATCAACGTCATCATCTTTCCCTGGGACGTAGCCAGTGTCACTGTCATTCACTGACATATCAGACAATGTCCCATCCTCGTCTGATCTTTCCAAATCAGCTTCACGAGGAATAAAATCGTCTTCAACATCAGTCGGGGTCGCCATGAGAGGAAAATACCCTACCCTGGGCATCACCTCATACGGACTAGTCTATAAATACACCCTTAAATGTTTTTTTTTCAAATGTGAGACATGTTTT